GGGGGGGGGGAAGGCAGCAAATAGGTTAACTTAACAAGGGCAAAAGAGATAAGATTGAAGTAATGGGTGGTTGAAAAGGTCAATGTTTCAACAATTTTGTCACTGATTATAGATTCCTACACTACTTTTAATAACTTAGACATAAGTATTAGACTGATGTAAAACAATTTGGAATTGACAAAGGACTATTTGAAAAATGATACTACGCTACTACAATGTGAGGATTTCTTATAATGCAATAAGATACTACACATTCCAAGGTGCTTTAACCTTGTAGCTATTAAATACCACCTTGTTGTTTTTTTCATCATCAGTTACTCTCAATCTGCAACAGTCTTTTGTAAAAAGCTTGATTTTATTTTGATTGGATAACTATTTTCTTTACCCTTTAACTCTCATAAATGACCAAAGAAGAATTTCTCCTAACAATATTGATACAATAGCAAGTAGTATAGTGATGAGAATAGAGAAAATATCAATTTGGGGATTATAAGTTGATCCATTACCAAACTCTCAGAGCTGACATCATAAGAGTTGTATGGTAGATGGTAAGGAAAGTCAAATTCAGCTCAAAAGCTAGTTCAATGGCTCTCTGAGATACAACAAAATTCAAAACTAGTTTTTGATCGATAAACTGTTTCAGCTGAGGAAACACATTTAGTAAAGGATGCTTATTGTATACCAGTGAGATCCCCCTGCTGAATGTCTGGAATCATTGTCATTCACGGCAAAAAATATCAGCTTTCGACTCAGAAGATCAAGTGGTTCCAGAAAAATACCAATTTCAAGGCCTGCAGCAAAAAAAAAAACAATAATCAATAACATAAATGCTGTATTCCCTCATCACAAGGATATTTCAACATAGATCTATGACAAAGATACAACCTTAAGACTGATGCAAAAAAATTTCAAAACTAAACACCCTACATGTAGCTGCATTACGATCCCACTTCTTCAATCATTCGTTATATCTCTCAGTTCGTACACGTACCATGATTGGTCAATTTAGCGTGCCGCATTTTAGTGTGCGGCCCGCTAATTCAAAAAATCGTTTGAATTGAAATCTTACCCCTCTAATTGAACCCAGAGATATAATAAAAATATCTCACTGACTCCGTTTTCTCGGTCTGTATCGTAACTTATTGAACCTCGTTTTTCCCGCCCGCTTCGCGCTTAGACCATAAATTCAGGTGGAAAAAACTCGCCACGTAACTTTACGTTACGGATCTGGAAAACGAAGTTAGCAAGACGTATGTCTTACCTCCCCCAAGCTTCAAAAACTGCGTGACATCAGGACTGATAAAGATCGCAATATCTGATATCTGTTTAAATTTGTTATGAGTAAAGTAACTGCAATCAAACAAGTTTTCTGGAGTTAGTTCAAAGTGAAAACTTCTCCTCCGATAAAATGCAACCTTGTAGATTGCATGTTGACGCTACGTAAGCGAAAATGTACGCTGCATCTGCGATCAGATTTCCCACAACTACAAAAAACTCACTCAAATACGAATCCTATCAGTCTATCATTCAGCCAACGACCTTCCTCGAGCAAGCTAAGGTCCGATTTTTTGAGAAGACTGTCATGGAAGCTCAACACAATTTCGTCCGCCATTTTTCAAACTTTCCCTCGCTGAGCATAAGATCCATTGGTATACCGCTGATATTTTAAACGCCCACAGCGCCCTTCCGTGGTTGGACAAAATGGCGGAATCAATTTGTCAAGACAAATTTACATGATTCACAACAGTGACGCCTAATTTGTGTAATGAGTTCGATCGGAAGAACACGATAGTATTTATTTCAAGGTATATAAGGTAATATAGTAGCTATCTAAATTGTTTTTAGTTTGCTAAGATGAAGTGGAAAATGGCCGTCAGTACGAACAATTCGTGTTTTTCTTTTGCCACTCCACAGCACTGGAGAGTTATTTTCCCCGTAGATTGCAACATTTTTCAATTGTATGGGTAGGGATTGCAAAATATAGTATATTTAAGCCTCAAGCATACCGGTCACTTGTCGAAAAGTGGTACAATTTGAGATTTATCACAACTTATGCACTTGACATTTTCAGGTCGGAAACCGTCGGTATTCTCCGAGACCTTACGTTTCATTCCGACAGTGACGTCACGGAATTGGTAGAAAGCAACATCGGAGCGGGAATGAGGTTGTAATGGCGAAAATTCACTGTCATTCTTTACTTTCTGGGAGCTCATGGAGTTCCTTCGAAGAAAATTCGCCTTTGGACGAACCCGAAGGTAGGTGTAGCTATCATGCCGTCGATCTGTATCCTCATTTGACTCTATAAACGCAAAGGAAACTTTTTTTAGGGGATTTACCGTGTATAATTTTTCCACGATAGCAATGGAAGTGGACGAAAACAATGGTTTGGGCTCTCCAGAAGCCACGCGATTGCACCAAGAAGGTAGGTAGCGTGACTTTTAAAGGCTATATTTACTCAGAAAAATCAGATATTGTTGCACAAAATACCAAGTAGTTTGTTCCGCCCTGGGCAAAAATTACTATAAGCGAACTGTTATGCACAGGTTGAAAGTAAGCTTAATTAGCATGAGACATGTCGTGCTAACTGCATGCGTGCACCCCTTAAAAGAGCGCTGTCTTAAATAGAGTTAGCTGTTCATCTGAAACTTCAACAATGGAGGAAGTGAATACTTGGGTTTTCTCTAAACAAACAGCGCCAAATCAAACGTGCTTTAATTTTTTGGAGTGGCTTACGCGTTTATTAATAATGTAAGCGGTACATGATTAACTTTTTTTATATGCTTTATGCTTTGATCCTAGATATGACCCTTTTCGGGATTTGCCCAGAGCAAGAGGAAATCGTCCTTGTCGTTTGCAAAGAGTGTGGCAGGGTTGTGAAAGCGCCGGCATTTTTACGGCATTGTGGTTAGTGCATTCATAATAATATTACACCTTTATCGAGCTTAAGTGACAAAAGCTCTACAAATGTCATAACATCTGGCAGTTCCAATGAGTAAACTATTATAAACGCTAGGTTGATTCTATATTCTGGTAACGTTTTCCATCAAACTGAAACTTGACCGTTTATAAATAGTTTTTTACTCCACTTCATTTACAAAAAATGGAGTGTGATGTTGTTTTTGAAATTGAATCTATGTAAGCTTTTAATTTGAAATTATTCTCTCTGCTAATTATATTATTTTAATTTCCCTGGCCATATCTTGTGTGACCCATGATAAATTCAAGGGAGAATTCACTGCAAGGTTGTCATTGGGAAATTGAACCTTGACAGAATTTTCCACCTATAATGCAGAATTTCTGGTGTAAATTTTTAGCTATAAATATTTTAAATTCAGACCTAGAAAGTTGTCTACTCCACTCTTCCCTTTTGCTATTTCTTAGCAAAATCTGTATCACTGCACCTTCTGAAACATTAAAAAATTGTTTCACCATATAGTTGATACCCAATTCATATACCATTGAGTTGGCCAATAACCAGGGATATCATTTAATGGAAGACTTTGTCAGCTTTTGTTTTGAGTCTACGGGAAAGAAATTTCTGTAATGACACTCATGGCAGACAAAGCTTTCCACAGTGTTTATGATTCTTAATTGTTACCCACATTGTTTTAAATTAATTGAGTATATCCTTGCCATACTTAATTTATTGTTTTAATTTCCTTAGTAATAACTATTGTGACCATTGATATATTCAAACTGGAAATTATTGTGTTGAGTTACCCAAACATACTAGGGAACTTTCTTTTTTGTGTGTAATTATGAGGTAAATATTATCAATGGGATGTAAGACCATTATATAGGGTTTATCAGCTAGGTTTCTTAAGGGATGAGTCCTCAATTATTATTTAACAGACAGCTATCAATCTAAACTAGTTATAACTTTCCTTGTTTCTAAGTCGTACCTTTTGTTTGAGAACAGGACTAAAGAAAGCTATTTTTTTAACTTTTTCGTAACTGAACAATTTTACTTGTATTTCTTTGCTGCATGATTTTGATTTAATAGAAAATCTGGTCCTTTATCAGTTGTAAGTGTTGTGGTTAATTAAGATATCAGGTTTAAGTGATTTCAAACTAGGTGTATGTTTTCTTTGTAATCCTTGCCATTTGATAATGTCTTTGGAACAGACAGAAAATCAAATTTAACTAGTTTGAAACCTTTTCGGCCAGAAAATCTTTCGAAACTTCAACAAATACTATTTGAAACATGTGTAGAATTATTCAGACCTTTGTAATTGTAATGAGATAAAAATTCTTTAAGATCCTGTTAATTATGCATAGCACCATTGAGTAATATAGGAATACTAGAAGTATCTTCCATTATTATTTATTATTACTCTTTTCTGATTGGCTACGCAAGTGGGGAAGAGGGTGTAAGTTGCTTGAAGCCAGCTTGCCTAGTTCAGAACGTTTTGTGAAGAAACATGATTTTTGATAATCTTACTGGTTTTTGCTGCTTCAGTGTTTAAGGGAAATACCACAGGCATGTACTGAAACAAAATCAAAACGAAGAAAAAATATATTGAGTTGCATCCGTTTTCTTTGAAACTAACACAGGTTCTTTAATGTTATATTTTTGCTTTATATTGTATCTTTTATTCAACCAGCTTGTTTGTCAAGAAGGCTGGATTTGATGTCTTATTTCAGTCTTTTGATGTTGGAAATTTAACCCAAATCCAACCATGTTAACCTTGGGTTTGATTTTAAGGGACAGAAAATAGTACCTGAATCCTTTAACTCCCAAGATCACATTAGTGATTCTCCTTACTGTCTGCCATACAGTTCTTGTGATGTTAGTTTGGAGAATTTGATATTGGATCAACTTGTAGTCCCCTAATTGATATTTTTCTTTATTCTATGATGCTGTAAGGAGAAATTCTGTCTTGGTCATTCATAGGAGTTGAAGGGTTAAAAAAAACGTTGGTGTTGTTAACTGATCTTGAAATCTAGTTACCCTTGATCATGTGGTCTCTTGAGTTCTACATTTTGTTGATTTGTTCCTATTTTCTAAAGATCTAAGATCAGAGGATGGCCAGTGTAGGTTAGAGCTATCATTGTTAGTGTCAGAAAACTTAATTTTCCAGTCTTGGATTTTCAAACACTGGTGCTGGTGTCTTGGAAAGTGGTAGATTGTAGCATTTTTTCATCCTACAAATGAATTGTCCCTCTTTTACACTGCAATAAATCAGTAGGCCATTTCTAAATTACTTAAGGCCTCTTTTTCAAAACGAGGCCTGGTGCTCAACCATTCCTATGAAGATGAGTATGATTTTTATGTGAATGAAAACTTTTAATCACATGAAAGAATGAGCACTAGGACTTGCTTTTCAAACAAGGCCAAGGGTAATTCAGAAATGGGCTATTACAATGCTGGCCATATAACAACAAAGGTCTCAAGAAATATTTTAAAAAGTTAAGACTTATCATGATAAATTACTATTTTACTCTTCCATTCTTACAGAGCTACACCATCAGAAAGTTATTCCTGTTCCCACCCCATCCTCCCCTGACTTGGTGACAACGTCAAGCTCAATGGTGGAGACAATTTTACAGACAGGATCAAGAAAAGGAAAACCTCATGACTCAGTCATTACTAACCAAAAGATTGAACTAATGGATGTCACAGTGAAGATAGAAGAAATGCCTTTGACTGTTCCATGTCTAAATCATGGCTTCTCCTCCACTGCTGTTAAGACAGAAGCTCTGAATAATGTAATAGCGAAGAGAAGTCCAAATGAAAAAGTTACTAGCAATAAAAAATCTCCCAGGAAACAGGTTCCTACAAGAGGTAAGTTCCAGTATGGAATTATGGTGCCATCTGTGTTATAGTCCAAGGTGAAATGGATTTGAATCACAATAAGTGGTAAAAGTAGTTGGCACTCTTCTCTGTAGTAGGTGGTCTACTATCACTCATTCAATATAATAAACAGAAATCTGGCAATTAATCACTTAATAAGTAACTTGAAAGTCCACTCTCCCCCCTTTACCCCTTAACTCCCAAGATCTGACTGTTAAATCTCCCCTCCAGCTGCTTCAAATTTCCTTGTAAATTGGTTATGAGAATTTGGTGTTTAATCAAGATAATATCTTGTACCTGATAAGTTAGGTTAATCTCACCACCTGATTGCTGGATAATGTATGGATACTATTGGGAGATGTTACATGTTAATCACTTCTGGGAGTTAAAGGGTTAAGTTAATCACTGTTGATAGAAATGAGTGACCAAGAAAAAAACCAGGCAAAACTGAAATGGGAGAGAGAAATGAAAGTTAAAACAAAAAATCAAGTAGTAGAATGTGCCAAGACTTGGGCTACTCATTGTAATTTGATTTTTGTTTTTATTGTGAAAGGATTATGGTTATATATCTGGAACAAAAATGAAAACAAAACCCAATTGCTAATAGTTAGAAACCATTTTTCTCTAGAATATAGATGTAACTACCAGTTACATGTATATTAATTGAACTACTCAAATAGTTTGAGCCAGGAAGTAACTTTTAGTCGTAAAGTAGATTCTGTCTTGTTGATCGGCACTGCCAATTCACAGCTGATTGCAAAACCCCTGACTTGGCCAAATGATACTTTTATGATTATTATAATTTATTACTGAAACACTGGTCTGTGGCATGGAGGAAAGGAAATTATCACTTAAAAGTAGAATTTTACTCTGTACACTGTACCTCTTTCTTAAGTCTTGATTTGCTGGTCCCTTTTAAATCTTATTTAGAGTGAAGATGCTTTGTGACCAGTGTAAACTATTTGAGCTCATTGTTGACTCTTTGTATCTATAATGTTTTGTAGAACGAGAGTTTGATGCTGACAAGCATTGTGGAGTTTGGGTAGCTGAACACCAGAAGAGATGTACTCGTTCACTAACTTGCAAGGTAAAAAAATTCACCTATTTTTGCATTTGTTAGTTTTATTAATAATTACAAAGTTTGTAATCTACCATCCCCTCCTTGTGCATCAAAGGTGAAGTAAAACACAGGTTATTTATTTTCCCTGAAATGCAATAAATACAAGTGTGTTTATGTACAAAGCTTGGTCAAGCATAGTCAATGCAACCTCTCATTCCTGGCAGTAATCAGTGTTTATATTAAATATGCTTTTTAGCTGAGGGGTAATGAAAAGTGGGAAATTATGTATTTCATGGTATGTTGTCTGATATAAACACATCTTTGGAATGTTTTGTCAAGATCTGCCATAAGATATGGGAATATGGGTCAGTGCCGATAGAGTATGCTGTCACTGATCCTAGTTTACCGTTCACTACCAAACCATGAAATCACCATTAGGTAACTCTAAGATATACTCATTTCAGACACATGCCCTGTCACTGAGACGTGCAGTTCCTGGGCGACGGAAACCTTTCGATGAACTTCTGGCGGAGCATAAAGCACGAGTAAATTGTGAAAAGGAACAACAACAGAATCAGGCTCTCAAGCTGCAAGAGCAGGCGGCAAATCAGAAGACACTGGATGCTACTCTTAAAAGAGCATTAAGTACCTCTGACTCATCTGTTACTTCATCTGCAAGCTCAAGGTTTGTGACATTTCTTTTTGAGACACATACCACCAGTAGTTTTGCCTCAGCCCTCTGGTAAGAACATCACTTAAGTATTGATTTTTTTTTCTTTTAGTACTAAAACGCACATTGGAAGGTCTCTCTCTGTAGAAGGTAGGTTTTGATTTTGTCTTTTTCACATTTTTAGCGTTTAACATATTAATGTTGATAGTAGTTTTAGCACAAAAAATCAAATTTGATGCTTAGAAGATATTGTTTATGGTATAGATGGACTTGTTTTGCCACTTGTTTTGCCACTTGTTTTGAAAGAACAGCTCAAATCTTTGATCTGTGCTTTAACCCTTTAACTCTCAGATTAAATTTGTAATTCTCCTTACTGTCAACCATACAATTCTTATAATGTTAGTTCAGAGAATTTAGTATTGGATCAACCAATTATCCCCAAATTGACGTTTTTCTTTATTCTTGTCACTTATCTAGTTGATATTATATTGATATTGTTAGGAGAAATTCTGTCTTGGTCACCCATGGTGTTAAAGGGTTAAAGGAGTTAAGATTGCATCTGGACTTTGGCAAGCAGTATTAACATTATGTATCTATCAAACTTCTTTTGATAACAATATTTCAGATGAAAACAACCTTGTGAATAAAGTTGTGAAAGGTTCTTCTGATGGCAGCACTGAAAATAGTGATAGCAGCACAAAATCATCTGGTTTGACAACCCTTAGTTGTCATCCTAAACCTATGGCGGTAAGCACAGTCACATCATTCTGTTTAGGTGCTTGGAATGACACTTTTCACTCTTATAACTGTAGTTATAATAACTGAGTGTTAGAGTTACCAACTGACTGATTGGAAACTTGATCAACTGATTTTTACTGCCTTTCATGAGGTAACAGTCAGGACTGACTATCTGACCAACTGACTAATTGACTTTGCTAACTTACTGGCTGAGTTACTGCTTGACTTATTGACTCACGGAATGATACACTGACTGACTGACCCCCCCCCCCCCCCCTCTCACAGACCGACTGACTTGTTTGTTGAATTGACAGACTGACTGACTGGTTGGCTTTACTAACTTATTGGCTGAATGACTGCTTGATCTACTGGCTGACAGAATGATAGACTCACTGTCTGACTCACCTGTTGACTGACTGACTGACTTATGTGTTAAATTTATTGAGTGAATGAGTGACTATGTGAATCACTAACTGATTTGATGGACTCACTTGACTGACTCACAGATTAATTGACTCTGATGACCAGAAAATGGAGGACTGATTTACCCACTAACTGTTTACTAACTGCTCTAAAAAATCAACTGACTGACTTTTAGCTAAAAGTTTGACTTAATGCACTACCAACTAACAACTGGCAACCTACAATTGTGCAAAGTAACTATTTTGATAGACAGAAACACACCTTTGTCTTCCCAACTAGTGTCAAGCTTCTCCCTCTACAACTTGTCTTCCTAAATTAACCTACTTCACTTTGTTACAGTCTTGTCGCTTTGGCACAAGAGCAGTAGGGAAAGGAGGTTACGTCTTTAATCGCAGAAGTGACCATCTTCGATGTGCTGTTCTTTCCATGGTAGAGAGATATCTAAATCCTTCATTGCCAAGGTAGAGTACAAATGCAAATTGAGTTTGTGGGGTTTGCTTTTAGGTTTTTTAAGTTACATATGGGGTACTTACCCCTATCCTCTTATTAAATCTGCCACATCTCAGAAGTTTCTATTTTTTCACAGACTTATTTTTTTCATGTTACACAGGCAAAAATCTAACAGAGCAAGTGCCGCTATTCTCCAAAGACCAACTATGAAAACTGTGGGACAGTCATCAAATCAAGGTAACAAGGCTGCTAAAGAAGTACAAGTATTATTAAGCTTTACAATTACTGCATGTTGTGAGAATGGTCTTCTCTAGTTCTTATTACAATTAACAATTGATCACCGAAGTGGAGGTAAATATCCATAACTTTCACTAACACTGAGGGGAATAATTGTGTAAGTATATACCACACAGACACCAGAAAAATGAGTTTATTTCTTTCAATACATTGAAAATGGTCAGAAATTAAACTCTTGACTTGCAGTTTTGTCTTGTCACTTGCTTAGAGGTGAATGGTACTTGTTATTCACTTTCGAACTAGCCAATCTGTGGATTGGGACTGGGTGTTATATGCTAATTATTATTATCATTATCGTTATTGTCATTATCATCATTATTAGTGGTAGAAGTAGTGTTCAACATTTGTTATTATTATTTGACAATAATGGAGGTTTTCTTTGATGTAATAATAGCATTGATGACCTTGTCATTCAATATCAATGACGCAAGGATTATCTTCATATTTTCAGTAATTGGTACAGGCTGGGATTTTTAAAAAGAGAGCTGTAGACAGAGGGTTATCATGTAATTGTAATTGATATAATTTTTTGCTCAGAAACAGTTTGTACTAAGGAGCACTCATGGTAAAATGTTGATCACCTTTATAGGTTTCTCTTCAGTTCCAGAGAGGTATAAAAGCCACTCCAACAAATCAATGAACAATTTTCTCAAAGCTCCACCCTTTCCTAGAAATAAATCATTCAAACAAGGTAATTCAGGACAAGCAGTCAATCATATGGAGAATGGTTTAAATTCCTCAAGAAGTTCTGTATTCCAAGGATCTACGTTGCAAAGCAAGAGACCCTATTTAGACTCTATTGGTTCAGCGAATTCGAATAGCTTGGCATCAACCACATACATCAAACCTGATGCTAGTAGCCAAGCGATCAGTGATATGGGAAACATTGTTGCAAGCATTGAGACTAATGTGTCAGGTGGACACCCCCTTAGTCTTGGACACCCACTTGGAGTGGTGGTTACAAAATCATCAGTAGTCCCAGGACCAAGTTTAAGCGTCAGTGGTAATGTAAACCCAGACTCAAGTTTAAATCTGTGCTCAGCACTTGGGATAAATTCAGGTGCTGCACAGGGATCTATTTCAACAACACAGACTACTTTTGTTGCAAGTAATGGTCTATCCATAATGTCTGCAGCTAGTGGAGCTCAGTTGTCTGGCATAAATACGGTGACCGGTCCACTACAGCCTGGGTTGACAAATGTGAAAGAAATTTTGCCAGCCCCCCTGGTGGGAGGGAAGGTTGCAGTTGGTACAGTGTCTTCGACATCAACATCATCGCCATTGTATAAAGCGGTAATAAATATGTTTTTCTCTTTCTACTTACATTCTCAAAGCAGGGTTGGTATTAAAGTAATTTTTAAGATGTAACTGTTATGGCAATGTAAAGTTTTTGTTTGTAGTTTACTTAGGATGAGTGTTAACCTTTTAACTCTTAAGATCTGATTGTAAATTCTTCCCTTGACCTGCAACCCATCCCCTTGTAACTAACTTATAAGAATTTGGTGTTTGATCAAGATAGCAACTTCTTCCTGAAGTTAGAATAATTTACTCTCATTACTTGTTTGCTTGATTATGTATGGGCATTGTAAGGAGAAGTAACATGTTAATCACTTCTGGGAGTTAAAAGGTAAACTGTGTCTCAAATAAGCAAACTGAGAGCACTTATCAGATTGTTGGTGTGATTTCAAAAAAAGACACTAATTTGGAAGAGCTTCATCAATTTTTTTATAGTTCCTGCTGGTGTTTTCTTGTATCTGATTGGCTGGTTAACCCTTTGGCTCCTAAGAGTGACTAGTATCGACTGTAACTTCTCCTTACAACATCACCCGCTGAATCACAATTTAAGGTCCTGAGAATAAAGGAAATGATTGCCAACTGAGGATGCTCTTGATTGTTGGAAATATTTTCCTTTTTAGCACCTTTGGAAATGTGTAGAGAGAATTATAGAGAATCTGTATACTGATGTTGGGGTGTAAAGGGTTATAAAAAAGGAGTTTGAAAATATTGATAGAATAAGTTTTTGGGCAAACTCAAGAATAAGCATTTTCCATTCACTGCAGAAAACTGTGTGATATTCTGTGCCTCTACTAAAGGGAATGAGATTGCCATGCCAAGAAGTAATTTTATCATTTAGTTCCCAGGGGTGATTAACATGTAATAATTATTTCTCTCTATGATATCCAAATGTTATTCAACTAAAAGGTGGTGAGAATACTCAAATTTATCAGGTGGAAATTATAACTAATTTACAAGAAATGTGTAGCAGCTAAAGGGGAGAATGAGCAATCAGATCTTGGGAGTTAAAGAGTTAAAATGCTCATCTCTGTTTTTTTTTGTTTTTTTTTGTGATATTAAAAAATTATTTCATGGATTGCCTCTGTTTTTCTTTAGATCACAGCACAAGTGGATCCCTCAATTGGTATGAACAGTACTTCATAGCTATCATACAGTTACAGCATTTACAAGTAGCCTGTGAATCAAGCTGAAGTATCCCAGATGTGTTACAAAATTATGATTGCAGTTTTGAGGAAAAAGTAGATTTACAATTTTCAATGGAATGTAATCATACCTGGGATGAAAAACCAGAAGAAAATTGAGAGCTGTTGTGTACTATTTTTTTTTTTCCAAATTCAATTCAGCAAAAAATAAAAATAAACTGTACTTTTGGAATAGTTAATCATGGCAGCTTTGAGGAGAGAGATTTGGTTACTGACAGATTTTGTTATTACACAGGGCAAGTGACATCAAGCTCTGCTGGTCAGAGTGTCAGCCCAGTGTTCTTTAAACAGGTTAGTGTCATTATAGTCAGGATGAACGAAAACACACAGGGCGAGTTGGTTGACCCTTTAAGTCCCAGGAGTGAGTTATCACTTCTTTCAAGTGTCTAGTCACCAGAGAGGTTTGGCAGTCGCTTGATAAACCAGCTGGATACAGACATCTATCAATTAGCATATCGATTATTCTTTAACAACAAAGAACTTTAATTTTTTGTTGGAAATATTTCTTTTGCAATGCACATTACAGATTGACTGTAAAAACAACATAGGAAATCCCTGTATGAGGGCAATAGGCATTGCCATATGCTGGGTTAGAAGAAGCTACACAGCCAAGCATACATTGCCACAATTTAAGAAATGCAAGAATACAGGAAGAAAGTAAAAGAGTATTTCTCACAAAGTGAAATGCTTATTGACTTAGGTTGGGTTAGACAGGAAAGTATTTGATTAGAGGGCATGACCTGTGGACCTTGATTCACACTGTCTTGGTTACATGTTATAAAGCCATCTGGCTTTCCTTCTTTGTCAGCATGTCCATAGTATTGCTGCTCTTGTCATACCAGATGCTAGTACATCTTATTTCTTACATTGTATTTGTTAACATATCTTTTAACAAATTCTTTCAGGGTTCGGGTGCTGTGCAAGTTACTTCCATGCCTAATGGCACAGGTCTCTCCCCACCACCTCCTGGTGGAACAGTCAAAGGCTACCCCTTGAATTTTGTCATTAAGGGTAATTCTGCAACTCAGGGCACATCTACATCAGTCACAGGAGTAACTGCAACACCTGCGAATATAAACAAAGGAAAAAATCTGATATTTAATAACATGGGATCCATGCATCAGTCACAGTTTATTGTGCAGCCATCTTCACAGATGAGTCCAAATATGCATCAGAGAGGTAAGTCCTTATAGCTTACTCTAAGTACTTCTAATAGTGCTTCCTTTCGTGACTCTCTCACTCCCAAGATCTCACTAGTAATTCTCCTTACCGTCTGCCATAATGATGATGTTAGTTTGGGGAATTTGGTATGTGATCAAGTAACAATCTCCTCATTGATATTACTTCTATTTTCCCCATTTTTCTACTTGATATTGTATTGAGATTGCAAGGAGAAATTCTGTCTTGGTCAATTATGGGAGTTAAAGGTTCAGTACTAACCCCCAAAAAACACAAAAACAAGAAATGCTGTGGTGGTAAAAAAAACTCAGTAAGTGCCACAACACTATTTATGACTTCCATATATTCACAACTGTTTATTCACCTCGTCACAAGTTTATTTGGAACCAACACATTGACCAGCTCCCAGTTGGCTTGTTAGCTCAGTTGGTAGAGCACTGCACTGGTATCTCAGAGGTCGTGGGTTCAAATCCCATACAGGCCTGAATTTTTTTCAGGCCTTCTTTTCACTACTACTTAAGTAGTGTTCATTACTACGAAGATCGCTTTCATATTCACACTATTTCAACTATATACAACTGTATGACAGTGTTTTCTCAAAAGAAAAATAAAGAAAAAATTCTGTATCTAGACTTCAGCTCTTATTCTGAATTATAAAGTTATGGAATGACTTTTGTTTAGGCCAGTGAACAAGTATGTGCATGTATACATGTTATTGTTATCTTGAAAAAGAAGACAATTTGTCCTTTGAAGCACGGCTGTTGTCACATTTATCATGTCTAAACAACTTGTTTCTCTTAGGTAAAGTTGCAAATGCTCGCTCAGGATCTATACATAAAGGAATCCAGAAAGCGCCATCTCCTTCATCACAGGCAAAAGTTGTGCAGTCACCTCCATCTCAACAGCCAATCACAGCTCAGCAACAAAAAACGGTGGTTGTTACAAGTCCACAGGGAAACCAAACCAAAGTTTTCATCAATCATAACAATATCACAAGTTCGCAACAACCAATTGTACAACTTACCCAACAGGTTCAACAACAACACCAACAACAACAACTTCAACAGATCACACTTCAGAAAAAATTACACCATCAACAACAGCAACAACAACAACAACAGCAGCAGCATCTTCAGCAACAAAAACCACATATCAACTCGCAATTCATCAAACAACATCCTATACAACCTCGCTTAGCACCTGCACCACCATCACAGTCATTTATCTCACAACAGCCCTTAACAGGTCAGAACATCATTGTTAAAGTTACAGAACAACTCAAGAGTCCACCAAACACAGTGTTTGCAACAACAGAACCACATCAAAACATGCAACATGCGGTTTGCCAGAAACCACAGTCAAATGTTGTGTGATAAGTTAATTTATATTATATTATCTTGAAACTTGAAAGAAATGAATGTGAAAGGGTCATAAATTAATAACTTCTATTGGTAAGTGCATTACCTTTCTTGTTTGCTACTGCAGCCTCAGCCCATACCAGGCTTTGAATGGAGATGAATAAATGATCAGGTCAGAGAAAGTTGAGGGGAGTCTGAGGAGGAGTGACAAGGACCTTCCCTCCCTCTTCTTAGTCCTCCTCATTTTCTTTTATTTTTCCATCTGTTTGCTCTGCTTTTTTGTTTATCCTCATAATCTGGCTGCAAACTGCTACAGCAAGGGTCCAGTACCCAAGAACCTAGGATTTTTTTAAGGGTGTTCTTGAAACAAAATCAGGTTATTTTATCAGGTGTTCTTTGTGTTGTGACTGAAGAACTGAGTAGTTGTTGGAATTCTGTGGTCATTGGTATAACCCTGTGATCTTTTCTCAGAAGATTCTATCAGTTTTTGCAAAAATTAGTTGTGGTTTAATGAAAAGAAACAAAGCATACATTCCAGAGTGCCAAAAAATGATATTTATAAAGTCAAGTGTTGTAACATAGTATGTTTCTCTGG